GCAAATTGATACAGATATTAAAATTTGGTGCTTATAAGAAAAGACTTAAAAAAATGAATAGCAATGCTTCGATTAAAATTAAAATGAGAAATTTTGTGTGTCTGTTGTTTTATTTCGGCCAGGTCCCCTCTTTCTCACTTCTGATCTCACAAAATAAAAGTGTCTCCTGGTCTTTTTTAGTTCTATCACTGGGTGCTATTTATCTCTTTATAATAGGATGGCCTTGGGGCCTTTTTTGAACCATAGTAATGACTTCATTTAGCACTGTGGTAAATGGTAAACAACCTATTGCATCTACCAGCTCTTCATTATAGAATGGACCTGAGGATAGGAAAGGATTTGGCCTTACTGTAAACTTGAAAATCAAAAGCTTATTTCTCTTCCCACTCTTAGCGGCATATTAGATGTAAAGATAAAGATTGCTTTGAGTTGCTGCTGTGAGATTTTTTTGAGAAGTTTTTTGGATGATAGATGTTCATTTGTGGAGAGGCCCACAACCACAAGAGCAACTTAAACTCAACTAAGGAGGCGCATGTAACAGCTTGGTGGTGTGTTTCTGGGTGCACAGTCCACATCAAGGGTGAGGTTATATTGACTTGGATTGTTAGAAATCACTGGGTTATGCTGTTGTTTTATGAAAGGTTTATGCTTTATCAATGGAATGATTTCATTTATGGTGAATTTGCAGTGAGCAAAACATGAAAAATGAAATAGCCAATGTCTGTTTTGAGATAAAATTAGTGTCAGCCTGGAGCACTTCCTCCTGAGAGAGGTTCATGGTGTGTAACATTCTTTAAAAAATAAATATATGCCTGCTTTTTCTTTTTTATTGGTTTGGCACGGGAGAAGAAATAATAACTAATAAAAGGAGAGTCATGTCGGAACTAGATTGGCTTTCAGCAAATATTTTTCTTGCACATAGAGGTGTTAAAAATGGCATTGGAAGTCCTACTCACCCCCTCAGACTCCTCTAGAATGCTTTTTAAAGTCTCTATACTGTGTAAGATTAAAAATGATGGTACTATTGTAATGTTAGAACACAGTTTTAGGTAAATAGAATTTTTTTTTTCCATTTTAGAAATAAGCCAAGTATATCTGCCATCTGGATATGTTGTTGTTAATATGTGGCATAACTTTATATTTGAAGGCTAGCTTGAGTCTGAGGCTAAATCTGCTGGTGAATTTGGTGACACACAGGTCCTGCCAAAAGCTGAGGGTTAGAAATGAAATGTATCAGATTGGGCCAGGCGGTGGAAGACATCTCCAGGAGACAATAAGGTATGTAGTATGTGAGGAAGAAGGGAAAGAAACACATTTTTGACTTTGAGTGATAATGGTGAATTCTGACCCAGTTCATTTCTTTGTATTGGAGAAAGGGTGTCTGATTGTTTTAAACATCTTTGTAATTGTTTTAAAAGAAAAGCATGCAAATTGAACCCTTGATAACTAAAACCAACCTCAACTTTTGCTGCATTTTAAGGAAATGTTATAAGATCTAAGCAGTTATATTACTTTAATGGCTGTAGTGTTATTTAGTGTTGTAGTCTCCTTTATAATCTAAAATAGAATATACTGTAGTATATAGCTGCTTTTTAATTAAAGACAAGACAAATGTGGCTGTAGTTTAAATTCTATTCACATCAGCAGGTATCAAGTATTCATTTATTTAAAAAAAAAAAGAAATGCTGCTTTCTCCTGAAAATGTGATTGAATATTTAAAAACCTTGATTGATGGTGATCTGCCTGGGCTGGAGGAGGCTGGGCTCACGCTGTTTCTGCTGGGCAAAATTAAAATGCTGCTACTTCCTGTGCAGTTGAATAGTCTTTGCTTAACTGTTGCTTATGTCAGAGTGTGTGTTCGTCTCAATTGATCAATTTCATTCTTTTCCCATGACTCCTGGGATAGGGCGAAGGAAGTGTGTGTGTGGGGCGTGATGTGATGTATCCTTGGCCTGTGCCCAAGACTCTAGAGCAGTGCTACTCAAAGTCCTTCAACCAGCTCTTTATTTTCTAAGCACTTTGTTCTGTTTGCTTTGGCTGAAGCTTTTCATCCCCAGCAAGACTCCCTCAGTGAAGGAAGCAGTATGTTGGTCTACACTGCAGCACACACTCCTTACCTGTCTTGGAACAGCACCATGTGAGTAGCACTGTTCTCCAGGCTGGTTGGGCAGCGTTATTTGACATGAGCTGCTATGAGGCCTTAAAGAAACACTTAACCTCCTTCTATTTCACCCTGTTGCTGCGTGCCTTTATACCACGTCATCTTTTACATCACTGTGCTTTGGGTTAATACACAACTTGCCTTTACATTCTCTTGCTTAGTCTTAAAATATCTTTGTGAATTGAAGGTTAACATCACTGAGTAGGCCAGCCGTCAAAATCTGAAATGTGCCCAGGGATCTCGTGGCTAATAACAATCTGAATTTGCTGTAAGAAAGCCCCCATCCGGGTCCTTAACCTTTTTAGTACCATGGACTCCTTTGGCCGCCTGGTGAAACCTGTGAGCCCCTCCTCAGAAACATGTTTTTAAATACCTTATAATCATATCTGCTTTACATAACAAGTTACATTGTTTTTCAAAGACTTCAGGTTTAATATTTGTGCTTTAATAACTTGCTATACAACTGGATCTAGTTGTGGGTCAAATACAATTCTGAAGCATAATGAGTATAAACAAGATCTGTAGCAACTGAAATATGGCAAGAATGCATGTGACTTCTCGTTAACAAAGTCATAGGTACTGCCAGTGCTAACATGGTTTGTCACCTACACTCATGCTTAAAGGAAATGCTGGATTTCAGTTAGAGGCTAGTGAAAATAAAGCTACATAGGTTTTTCCTATCCAAGTTTAGGGCCACAAAGAATTCTGTCCATAGATGTCAGGTTAAGGACCCCTGACCTACAGTTTTTGCTTCCATCGTTTCATTGTATTTAGATGGTGGGGAAGGGAGGCTGGGTCCCTTCACTCTGCTGTCACAATCTCAAAGCATTACTGGCAGATCAGTTCTACTCGGCCAGAACCATTTAAAATCTCAATT